GGAGAGGGACAGTGAGTGAGTTTTGGGGCAGGGTGTTGGAGAGGGACGGTGAGTGAGTTTTGGGGCAGGGTGTTGGAGAGGGACGGTGAGTGAGTTTTGGGGCAGGGTGTGTGAGGGAGGGACGGTGAGTGAGTTTTGGGGCAGGGTATGTGAGGGAGGGACGGTGAGTGAGTTTTGGGGCAGGGTGTTGGAGAGGGACAGTGAGTGAGTTTTGGGGCAGAGTCTGTGAGGGAGGGACGGTGAGTGAATTTTGGGGCAGGGTGTTTGAGAGGGACAGTCCTGGAGTTTTAAAACTGGGATAAGCCCCTCTGCAGCATCACCGCGGCCTTCCTTAAACTTGGGCCCCGCCCCGCCGGTCGGCCAGCTCCCTCCTGATTGGCGGGCGGCCGGTCAGGTGGTGGAGATTCCCGGTCCCGGTCGCCATTTTGGGGGAAAGTTTGGGATTTCTCTAGCAGTGACCGGGAAGAGGAGTCGTCGGAGTTGTTGGCGGGAGGGAAGCGGCGCCAGTGAAAGTTTGTTTTTGGTGGAAACGGGAACAAGAGGAGCGGGAGAGTGGGTGTCGGTGCCGGTCCGGGGGCCCCACCTCTCGGGGCGGGGAAACGAGGAGGTGGAGGAGGAGGGTCACTGGCGGCGGCGAAGGACTGCAACTCCACGGGGAGGCAAGAGAGCGCGAGCCCCGGAGCCTGTAACTGGCCTGACGGGGAGACAGCCAGAGAGTCGGCCTCGCTTTCAGGGTGGCAGAACGGAGGGGGGGGAGGCTGCCGCTTGCTGCATCCCCTACAGAGGAGAGAGAGAGAGAGGACCCCCCCCCCCCCCCACTTTTCCCAAAATAAAAACAACCCACACCCAGCAAAGGGATCCACTGGAGGACCCTGAGTGTTAGGGGCAGAGACCAGGACAGTCCCTCTCAAGGTGAGCGGAGAGGATCCACTCTCCCCAATCGGTCTCCTGCAGTCACCTTGAACAAGTAGGACAAGCGAGCAGTGACCGGGCAAGATAACCAGCAGAAACTGTCTGATCAGAGATACGGTATTCCAGTCTGGGAAAGAAGAGAGAGTCAGGATGAGGTGCTCCTGAGGCCAATACTTTACAAACCGGTCAATCCACTTCAGGAAGGAAGGATTGACTTGTATCGAAAAGAAACCAAAAGTGTCTCTTTCCTCTTTCTTAAACAAGCCTAAGCCTGTTTTGAAGGAAAAAAATCGATTGTCAGTGAAACTGATTGCACTAAATATTTACACGTTTCCTGGAGTCGGAGCGAAAAGTTGGGATCCGGTGTTTCCAGCAGATTGTCAGGACCATTTGAAAGCGCAGAAGAAAAGATCCTGTCTCCTGAGACTCTTCGGAGGATAATTTAGAATTGAGGGAATTACTAACTGGGAGATTTAACCTGTGAAGGAAATCTGAAACAGGAGGATGCCAGTTCGAAAGCAGGGTGAGTTTCAGCATGTTAAACTTTGGGCTTAATTTAACCTTAATGCAAGCATAAGCATTTAATAAAAGTTTTTACAAGTACGCTAACACTTTGTATTTAGCACCATTGAAACGAACTTTAAGACGAACCGATTTTAACGAAGGAAATCTTTGTCATTTTCTACCAAGTGCTAAAAGCTGGGCAAAGATGAGCTATGTTGTAACTCCAGGAGTTGTTACGGGATCGGGCCAGTAATGATCGTTAAATGTGTGATTATTTTTGCCCCTTGTCTCTGCTCAGATGCTCAGCGAGCTCTGAAGCTCCTGGAGAATTACCGTGCCAAGCTCGGCAAGACTGAAGACCGTCAGCTCCGTGCCTCCATCGAGCGAGTCATCAATATATTCCGCAGTAATCTCTTTCAAGCATTAATAGGTACGTACGTAGACCGCTCGACATCTCGTCTTCACTTATTACTTTTTGAGGTTAACAGCAGCATCAGCCGATGAGAGCTGTTAAAATACCAATGGGTTGTTCTGAACATAAGGACTTAAATATTCTGGACAGAGAAAGAGGTTTGACGTTTTAACAACGCGGGAATCCCTTGGCTTTTCTTATCCGATTACGAAACCATTCTTTCCCCTTAAGCTGACAACCTGTTGCCTTGCGATTCTGTGAATCACGGAGAGGCGAGAAAGCGGGAATAGTCAAACAATGTAATTGCGAATATTTGACAGAAGTTGTCGCGTCATTTTAAACCCCGCAACACTGAAATGAATGGCGGCACCAGTGCAGCATTTCTAATGAACTCTGCTTATAGTGTTGAACGATCAGATTACAACTTGATGTCCGTGTACATGATGCGATTCGGTTGCATTCAGGAGCACTTGGGCGGTGAACAGGAAGCATTATGGAGGAAGGGGCGTGATTTATTAATGTAAACAGTTTCGGCTGTGTGTGGCATGTCTGAGTTGGACACGTGTGGAGGTGGTGCTGAAGAAAGTAGATATGAAATCGCTACGATATGACATTTTAAGGAAAACCGTATTGATGACTATATGGATTTTTAAGTGGAAATAAGGATAGTGGGAGTTGCATTAAAATTCTGGGTATCAATTTAGATTTTGCAGAATGGGAAAATCCTTTTCTGATTTCAAAACTTATTGACACTTAATCAGAAGTCCACACACTCTCGTTAGAGAATAGTGCAGTTGATTAAAATCGTTTTGATGGGGAGGAAGAGAAATAAGGATAATATTGTAAAGAAAATGATCCCTCTTGACATCAGCTGTAACCTAATTTGCGTTGAACTTTCAAATACATAATTAAAATAATTTTAATATTGATATTTTATTCATATTTGGGATATGAGCATTCTGGCAAACTGGTATTTATTGGTCAAGCCACAGTGCTTAATGGCTATTAGTACTGATTTCAATGATATGAGGCACCTTCCACTGTTTAATTATAATTTTAATCATAAAATAAATGTAAAAGGTCCAACGACTGTCAAAGGTTAATCTTTCAAGTGTTCAGTAGCGTACCACTAATACAAATAGCTCTGACAAACTAACGTTGTGTTGTAGTATTAAATTGTCATTGTCATTGTCATTGTCAACAAAATAATACTAGTATGTAGTAGGTCTTATTGGTTATCAGAGGTTTCAAATGTGCTGTGTATATGCGATCTCCGTCCAAGTACAAATTTAACTACAAAGAGAGGCAAATGATTGAAGTATAATGACGGTTTAAGTGGTTCACAGATAAACTGCTTCTCTGGATAGTAGGATCCTCTAGCCTAAGGATTAGATCCATCAGGAAATCTACTGATCTGCTTGCCATCATCAGCAAGGCAGTAGTGAATTTTTGAGAAGTTGTGCAGTTAGCTTTTTATTCAATGATTTTTGTTTTGGCTAAATGGCAAACACATTGGGCTTTTCGTAAAATAACAAATATTCCATTTCACTGTATGTCCAAAAGATCTGTACTTCCTGTTGTTCCCCTTAATACCTCCCCATTAAATACCATAAACTACTATTGTAAGCTGTTCAAGACGGAACTAATGTCCGCACACGTTGTGTATTGCTTTTTTTTCTTAATCTTTTTGTATGTTTGTTTGCTTTCTCCCTTTCCAAAATTCGTGTCTGCTCTCTTGCTGAGATACTGATTATATTGGGGATGGCAACACTCCAAATACCTCAGTGACATTGGATGCATCTTTCATAGCATAGTTAAGCCTCATTAATATTTGTATGTACATGATTTCTAGGAAGGAACTTTTGATAGTGCCTGAGCGTGGGAATGTTGTTACTTTTCCTACCTTATTTCGGTTGTTGAGGAAAATTTTGGGATTTTACCACTAGCCCAGCTAAAACTGACTGACTAGTGTAGATTTTCTCCAGAAAGTGCATGTAAATAGACTCAAGATGATGGTGACATGAGTTCGCTGTAAATGTGTACATTGATTTTTCAAAAACTGTTTCATTAGAAATAATGAATTGAAATTTAGTTGTGCAGTAAACAAAAATAAAGGTGAAACGATTGTTTGGATTAGCAAAGATTTATAAATGGTGTGCTGCACATTATTAAAAGCTGAAAGAACTGTGAATGCTGTAATTCAGAGACAAAAGATAAGCTCAGCAGGTCTGACAGCATCTGTGAAGAAAAAAAATCAGTTAACGTTTTGGGTCCAGTGACCCTTCCTCAGAACTGATGGTACCTACATCCCACCAGCATGAAGATCATCAGACATCATTTCTGCCACGTCCAGCAAGATGCCACCACTAGATACCCATTCCCCTCCCCTCCCTTGTCCGCCTTCCGCAGGACCATTCCCTCTGGGACACCCTGGTCTACTGTTCATTCACGCGCGCGCACACACCACCGTCCCCTGCGACCAGCGAAGGTGCACCGCCTACCCGTGTACCTCCTCCGCCCCCCTCTCCAAGGACCCAAATATACCTTCCAGGTGAAGCAAAACTTCACCTGTACTTCCCAGAATCTAGTCTACTGCATTCGCTGCTCACTATGTGGTCCCCTCCACATTGGGGAAACGTAGCATAGACTGGGTGACCGCTTCACAGAACACCTATGTTCTGCTCACAAAAAGACCCTGAGCTACCTGTTGCCTGTCACTTTAACACACCACTCTGTTCCCCGGCCAACATCTGTGTCTGGCTTGCTGCAGTGTCCCATTGAAGCTCAACGTAAGCTAGAAGAACAACACCTCGTTTTCCGCTTGGTACCCTCTGGACTCCATATGGAGTTCAATAATTTTAGGGCCTAAACTTTCCTGTGTCCTAGCCCCCTAGCCCCCTACCTCATGCACCAGGCCTTGTTATCACTGCCTGCCATTACATACTACCTATCGTTGGTCACTAACAGTCCCCATTAACAACTGTTCACTCTCCAAGCCAGATCATTATTAACTCCTTTGTCTACCCTACTGTTCTTCTCGCTCTCTTGCTGTCTCTCATTGACTCCCTACCCCTCGATTTTCTGCATATAAACCACAATTTTCCGAGCTACCATCTGTTCTGAGGGAGAGTCACCGGACTCCAAAATGTTAACTCTGATATTTTTATTCAGAGATGCTGCTAGACCTGCTGAGCATTTCCAGCAATTCCGTTTTAGCATTGGATCTGTTGACTGCACAAGAGATGGCATGGGATTGGAGAGGGTTACAGGAGAACATAACAATGTTAACTGTAGGAACAGAGACTGGAACAAGCGGCAAGGACAAGTTTATGTGAGGACTTGAAGCATCCTAGGGAAAGGAACTCAATGATAAACTCAGTATAAAAACTTTTGTATGGATGATCATTAATGTTAAAGTTCAGCTGTTCATGTGTAAACCATTTAGAGGCAAGTTTTTGTTTGTTATATGCAGATGTAGATTATATGGAGGTTAAGTTTTTGCAAGGCCCGAGTTAGTACAGTATAGTTTTGGATCCGCTGCCCTGCGGTGCACTTGTCCTTCCTCCATTGCTGCACCCCCCCCAAAAAATTAAAATTATTGTAAATATATGTTGTAAATTTGCAAGATTGTTGCTTGAACTGGTGACTAGTTATAAAATAGTATCTTCTTTTGGGTATCTTGTTTTCTCACTTGAGCAGAAGAGGCTATGAAAAGTTTTAGTTTTGAAAATGTAAAGACTGTTGCTAGATGGTTGGGGGTAAATTTTAATGTCAGAAAATAAGTGTCAAGTAAACTTTCTTTTTGCATTAGTGTTTTGAGGAAGAATTATTTTGCCATTGGGGCTAGTTAACATAGGGGTCAAAGTAATAATTTCAGCCAAACATTTAGGTAAGTACTTGGGGCCAAAGGAAGAAAGTAGAATTTGTTTTGCATTGCTCCAGTCAACACAAACATAAATCAATAAATTAAACAAACAATATTGTTCCTACTTTTGAATGTGTTGGCTAATTGGCATTTCTTTAGCGTTTTCTTCTGCAGAGCCATTTTCATTACAAATAGTGTAAATTGGTTTAGTGTTGACGGTGTCTTTTGATATAAACTACCAATTATAATGGAGGTAGGGAAAGAGAGAGATGCTGCTGAGTTGAGAAAGCTGTTTATGGGTTTTTTGCTTTGATAAACTAAAGAATACAGGCTGATTTTGGATCAGTTGGGAAGAGTGGGAGAACTGTATCCAAGTTGTACCTTGAGGATTTTTTTCAAGCAAGTTAGTGATTTTAATGTTTTCTGTGCCAGTGCAAGCCCAAATTAAATTTTTTTGAATTAACTGAAGGTTTCCTGTTGTCTTCCTTAACTTTCAGTTGACCAACATGTTTTGCTCCAAAAGGGAGCTAGCATATCTAACTTTATTGTGGGTTGCACCTTTACATTCCTCACTAACTTTCCCATGCTCTGCCTTTCAGGAAAGAGATAATGTCACCCACTGTGTGTCCCGTTAGTCAAAATCCAGGTCTAAAATCTACAAAATGAAAAAAAATTATGTGCAAAAGTCACTTATTTCTTGGCATTCTTCCAATAGACTAATATTTAAGTCCATTGATACCAGGTATGAATTGGGTCCCAAGGACCTAAAATTTTAAAGGTGTCATTCTTGACCTTTCCTCAAAATAGAGGAATAAAATCACCAATTAAGAGGTGTAGATTGAGCGATTCTACAAATCAGTAGAATGGAGTGCATCTAACAAATAAAATGTGGGATAGGTGGAGAGTTTTCTTGTGTGCTATATTTGGCAATGCCTCCCTTGCCTTGCCCATAAAATTACATTGAGTTCACATTCATTTGACTTGAACTTTTTGGCAGGGTTGATAGAAGCCAAATCTTTGCTATTTATAGACACATTTGTCTAACTTTAGAAGACCTGTTTGCTAGCTAGTATGAATGTGTCTGTTTTAGAATATGTGTATTAATGCTCTTTAAACTGGAAATGTGGTTTTGTAGGCTGCATTAATCTTTGCA